ATGCTTGGATATATTTCCATTTCCAAATACATGGAGGAATGTCTATTGATAAAGTTTAATTTTTTGAAATTCAAATCCAATAGTTTTGGTTTGAACATATTTTGAATTTAAAATTGAGCATCTATAATTCATTTTGACAAACTCTAGATCTGCTATACTATATTGAGCAATTCTGCAATGGATAAAACACACTTCGTTTTCACATTAACATAAAATATGAAATTTAGTATCTGAATGTTAAAAAGTTAGGACCGAAAATCATCTTAAATGAATATACTTAAATGAATAGTGAAAATCATCTTAAATGAATATACTTAAATGAATAAATGAAAATCATCTTAAATGAATAAATTGAATTTACTCAATGATCTCTACAAATGTTTACAAAGCAATGATCGCTTCATTAACTGACTTTATTTTAACTGGGAACAATAAGAAATAGTTGAAATAGTTGCTTACGACATGCTGCACTTTACGTTCTGACACTGACATTTTTATGCATGCAATGAAAAGAATGTTTCATTCTTAATTAATAGTCATTAAAAAATTCTGAGAATTGAAAAAATTTACAAAGCATTTTCTAACTCAAGCAATTGAGAGCAGTAAACAAATTAATCACAATCTTTTACGAAATTGAAAATAATTTGTTATACCAACCTTCCAAACGTTGTTTTCCCTCTTCTGTATTATGAAAAATAAATAATAAAATAATGTTAAAATATTATATAGTTAAGTGACAAGCAACTAGAGCATTTTTTGTTTCATTTATAACACAACAAAACAATTTCATGGGCTCTTTATCATGAAATATGAACAATGTTAATGTATGGGCTTCTTTTAATATTTGGTCGCATCATAATACCACACCGATTATAAAGATAAGAAAATATAAAAATTATAGAACCACAAATTACAATTTTCCATTATGAACATAAGCTCTCCTCCCCAAATTATTGAGCTGGCTACTCCGTTGTTTTTCAAATCCTGATTCACATTTTCACACTTTTAAAAAATGATATTGTCCTTTGTTGTATTAGGAGGTCTATTTATCGAAGGCGAGTAGCTACAATTGTATTTACCCTAAGAAATTTATGAGTAATGATAGTATCAACACCACCAATAACGTAAAAAGGTTGGAAAGAAGCAGTTATAAGCGTTTGTCAAAAAAATTTTTACCGACCGGAGCATACCAGTTGTAGATACTCTGAAAAAAAATAAACTGACTGCATTCAGCATTCCCATGTATCACAAGAATCATTTCATACTCTGACGCCAAAGTGGCGGTTTTGAAGAAGGAAGAGAATGAGCAGAGGTTGTTTTCTGTTTATGCTGAAAGGATGATGATGGTGGAAGCATTGCATGGTGTTGATGTAAGAGTCAATTTAAGAAGAAATGAATTTACTGAAAGACATTACAGGCTTGCAGTTGCGTAGCTAGCCCACAAATTTGTTCATCATTTGTAAATTTTACACTATTATTATTATTCATTTCTCAAAAAAGTAATTATTTTACTGTGAGTGAACACATTAAAATTTACAAAGCATGAACAAAGATGTTGGCTGGTTATATGCCACTGGAGGTTTGTGGATGACCAATGCATAGTAGCGGGGACGAAAATTATGCAGAATATCTTAGATAGATTGGGTGGTGTATCATGAGAATATGGTATGAGCATAAATATAAAGACGACAAAAGTTACTGCAGTTTCCAAATAATTTGGCGGCTAATAAATAATAATTTTGTTATTTGGGTTTCTTGATAACAGATAATGATAAGAGATGAAAATGAAAAGAGAAATGGCAAAATCAGCTTTCAACAAAAGTACTCACAAGAGGTATACGTAGGAAAAAGAAAAATTGAATCATCAAAACAGTTGTTTGGTGTTTGTAGCATCTTTTTTGGATCATAGTCATGAAAAGCGAAGGAAGGATATGAGAAAGATAGAGGCACTTGTGATGTGAATCTTGGAAAGAATGGAGATCAGGCTGAATAGAAAGGAAAACAATAGGAGTGATGTTGATGGTGTAGATGAAAAGAGAGAAGGGTAGAAATACCATAGAATTAAAAAGACGTAGAATTGACACATCTTTCGCGGTAATAACTTGTTAAAATAAGTGGCCGAGAAAAGAGTTTATTGTAAAAAACATAAGGAAAGAAAAAGGATTGGATTGCTAAGTAACTTGAAAGAGAACAGATATGGCAACTTGAAAAGAAAACCTGAGAATTGAGAGACCTGGAGAAGATAAATGCTTAAATAGATCTCTCGGTACATAAATAACTAGACGGCGACAAAAACTTTTGTTGTTGGTATTATACTACATGATAAACTAACCTTCATCATTATCGTTACTATCTGCAAAGTATAAAAAAATCACAATATTATCACATTTACGCATTATACGTCAAATTGAATATCTTATTGTTAAAAATTGTGACTAAATAGAGACGAAAAGCCTCTTAAATGAATTAAGACAGTTTATACAAACAGCAAACAGGAGTTAACAACTACAAAAATCTATCCCAAAATAACGTCAATTCATACATCAGTTGTCAAATTGTATATTACTTGTATACATCTACTTTAAAAACTCAGTGATATTTTAAGAGTGAAAATCAAGAACAGTACATTTTCAGTCAGTGTTATGTGTGAATGACTCTTTTTACGTCTTTTTAGGGACGAATAAACCTGTTGTTGTAACTTAGCTAATCACAGATAATAATGTTTTTTTAACAAATTTTCCAGCATTCTTTGCAAAAGATTGGCATGATAAAAAAAACAAGGGCAGAAGCACGGGGTACCAAGTATTGGAAAGCAGATATCGGAAAGCAAATACCGAGTGGAAGGTACCTGGTAGAAGTTTATTCGTATAAATTAATCTTTGTGCGAAAATATTGCATTTCAAATTGTTATCTAAGATGTGCCTGATTCAAGAAGAATTGGTCACAGGCGCACACAAAAGTAGCATTGTGTCTTTGCCACACATTGTGATTGATTTGCGCTTTAAAAATAAATATTTGCCGATTCGCTTTGAGAATTACGTGGAATGACCACTGTTGCGGTAAGAAAAAAAAGAAGTAACAGTTGTGGCATTGCTTGCTGCGTTTTACTTTTCTTTCTTGGAAAACGCCAACATTTTTTTTCTAGTGTTTTTGGTATTCCAAAAGTTCTTGCTTTAAAGTAGTAAATTCCTCCTGCGTTTTGCTTTGATTTTGAAAGGAAGCTAAGAAAGTATTTTGTTGTGTTTATTGTCAAAGGAGAAAATTACGTGTGCACAAATGGAGGAAGCAACGTATCGAGGACAAAATATCATAATGTTCAGTCAGTATTTTCAGCTTTTCATGCATCCAAACACAAATTCAATTTGCAATGCTTCCATTGTTATACAAAACAACATAAACACAAGTATATATTTTTTTGTCAAAAACGGTAAAAGCTTTAGACAATAAAACTTTTAAGACTTACAATTAAATATGTTAAGTTTCTTTGTTGAATCGCCGTTTTTTTTTACCACAACAAGTTCATTACGTCTTTTTGATAAAGCGTTTATCTGGTATTATATTATACTGCTAAATAGTACCAGTCTTCTCTAGCATTACCCCGCTACATGTTACCCAGTACTTTCTACTTGGTACCTGGTATCACACCCACATTTTTGACTCTGCCGCAGTGGTATTGAGAATCAAGTGAAAAGAAAATGTTCGTGTAAATGCTAATAAATTTGATAATAATAAAAAATGATACATGAAATGAAAGCGTTCATGGATTTCAGCATCGCATCATTATTTCTAATAGAAGTATAGAACCGGCTGTGTGTTGAACGCCCCTCGACATCTTTAGAATGATGATATAAGAATATAAGGCTTCCTGTGATTGGTTAATCCCTGTTTTACTACTTAATTTATTCATACATTGCAAATACTTATATCCTTTTTGCAATCTTATTCCATACTTATACTACCATTCTAAAGATGTCGAGCGCTGCGATGAAACGTCAATAAAATTTCCTCTTTTCATATTTCTGACTACAATGGCATTTTATATTATTGCAATAAGTTGGGCATTAATGTTCATGATACGACTACGTTTCACGCATGGAGAATCTACAGCCACTGTTTGAATTTTGCACGGGTAAACAAGCTGAGAGAGAAAAACTGGAGTTTGAAAGTAACGCTTTTCAAATACATTGAACATAAGCAGACATAAACAACCATATAAACATTATTACTATTAGTTTTTGCATGACTATACCGACCTTTACGATGTCGTTTCTTTTTTATTGCAGTATTAAAAATAAATCTTAAAAACAACGTTATGTTAAATTTACACGTGGCAGTTAACTGATCACTTGCGCATTGCGCATTTTTTTTCATTAGATAAAAAGTCGGAGACTTTGGGAAGAACAAAAACAGATTATTTTAATTTTGTTTAAGTAAATCAGATGGTAGGGAAATACAAAATATAACGCCAACGCATCAATCGTTTTCAGTTTCAGGAGAGTAAATTAAATAATTAATTTGCCGTCAATGTAATGAATAATTGATATTTGCTGAACACAACACAATAAAATAATTCATTCAATGGTAAGAATTTTTTATTCTTAGGGTTTCGGATAAAAATAGCGATCTTTCAAAACGCTGACATTTTGAAAACAACGCTTGTTATTTTTCAAACGACTCACGCCAATATCTAAGTCACAAAGAGCATTTTCATAAAGAACATTTTTTAGCATGCATTTTAATTTTTTGCTGCCCACATCGGCTTTGCATACTTTTAACGATCTTGTGCAAATATTCTAGTGTAACGATCTTATGTTATTATGCAGTACAGTACTATGCAAAACTTTTAGCTCACCTTTTAAAATGTGAAAAATTTAGTAGTAATGTTGCATTTTAGAAATTCAGTAAAGAAACTAGTAACTGTGTATGTAGAATGTAGATTTACATGTATAATTTACGTTGATAATATGAGGCTGGGAAGTAAAGAAAAGACTGTTACTTACCAGCTTCCGATTCAGAAGGCACAGCACTTTTGGCAACGTTAACATCTTCAAATGCAGTAACAATGCAATTATATGATAACATATTTACATAACATCGCATGCAGCAAGATTAAGGTAATATTTGGTGCGCTATTCCACAATAATTTCCCACTTCATTACCTCTCATTTTACTTTTTTCATCACTTTCTAAAGACGTGATATTGGGCAAAATACCCTCTCTTTTTATATGTTGCTCTATAGAGAATAAGACAAGAACATTAATGCAAAGAACAGAGTTTCAAGCTCCATTAATAAATATCAAAAATTCGTATTACTCATTGTACTAGAAGATGAAGATTGGTCTACTTTTTTAAGTTCATCATTATGGGAAACTAAAACATAAATTAGATTTCAAAGTTGACAGGAGTCATAAAATAATTAGCACCAATAGCTGCGGATAGCGCTGTAGATTCACATTGAAATAAAATGTACCTTCTTCTATCGCACGACAAACTAAACATAAAAACAACAGTATAATTACATTGAAACACAGCAAACTAACTGCTTGAAATGCATTTTAAAAAAGTACGTAAGCAATTCAATCTAGCTATAAAACATAATCACAGACTGGCTTGTCATGCTCATGATGTGGCTAACTTTTTTCTAACAATCATCAGTGATTTTTCTAAAACTTATTCTAAAGCTTAAAGAGAGGTTTTTGATTTTTAGTCGCTGAAAATTTTAAGAATTGTACTTTAAAAGACGTCCATGTTTTGGTCATATATTTAGGAACGCAAAAAGGGACTGTATGGATTACCCGAACTCAGGTTATACCTTAGAATAATGACATTTTAAACTTACGCTTCAATGTTTTGTATGACGACAAAAGTGCGTGAATATGACTGGCTAAATTATGATAAACTTCTGTAAAGCCATGCAAAAGTCATGATATTGTTGTATCCCATGAATTAAATAATAGCTTGAAAGACGCTATATGATACGTGATATTTTTTTCTGTGCAGTACAATTATACAGGGTGTCACACTACCGAAACCATCTTATGCTAGAGTATAAATGCCCTAGCAATGATAAATTCATTGTATAAATTTGAGGTATTTTCAGAGAAGTCACTATTTTGTGTTTTTGGCCAGCCCAGTGTGCGAGATTTTCAATACCTTGCGTAAGTAGTGTTTGTGACAATATTTTACAAAATTATTATCATAGTTGTGAAATTATAATCTTTCACTTCTTAAAGAGGCTTTTATAAATCTTATATAAATGTCTGATACATTTTATGTTCGTTAAATATGGATCATTTGAACTGTGTTGAAGAAAGGCTGTTACATGTACGCATTGCGTACCTGTTTTTCTTCAATAATCACTGTTATACACTTTAATGTAAAATTTACATTGTAAATATGAGCTGAGAGACAAGCAGGAAACAGAACGACAATGAAGAATGATTTTTCTAAAAAATAAAAATTTTGTTACCTGATGAAGGCATTGCATCGCTGTCTTCCAAACTGTCATTATCATTCAATTGACATTCAGAAGGTTCTCTTATTTTAGAAGCTGGAACAATGCAAATAAATAACATTACCAAATGATAATAAAATACAATACACAGCTTTCCTCAGTGGCGTAGCTAACTCGATGATGACATAATAATATTCATTATACATGTTTTGCAAGATCATGTTCTTTTGAAACTAATTGTTTCTTACGGATGATAACACGCATTTATGACGAAAAAATTATGCAGAATATCTTAGATAGATTTGTTGGTGTATCATGAGAATATGGTATGAGCATAAATATAAAGACGACAAAAGTTACTGCAGTTTCCAAATAATTTGGCGGCTAATAAATAATAATTTTGTTATTTGGGTTTCTTGATAACAGATAATGATAAGAGATAAAAATGAAAAGAGAAATGGCAAAATCAGCTTTCAACAAAAGTACTCACAAGAGGTATACGTAGGAAAAAGAAAAATTGAATCATCAAAACAGTTGTTTGGTGTTTGTAGCATCTTTTTTGGATCATAGTCATGAAAAGCGAAGGAAGGATATGAGAAAGATAGAGGCACTTGTGATGTGAATCTTGGAAAGAATGGAGATCAGGCTGAATAGAAAGGAAAACAATAGGAGTGATGTTGATGGTGTAGATGAAAAAAGAGAGATGTTGGGTAGAAATACCATAGAATTAAAAAGACGTAGAATTGACACATCTTTCGCGGTAATAACTTGTTAAAATAAGTGGCCGAGAAAAGAGTTTATTGTAAAAAACATAAGGAAAGAAAAAGGATTGGATTGCTAAGTAACTTGAAAGAGAACAGATATGGCAACTTGAAAAGAAAACCTGAGAATTGAGAGACCTGGAGAAGATAAATGCTTAAATAGATCTCTCGGTACATAAATAACTAGACGGCGACAAAAACTTTTGTTGTTGGTATTATACTACATGATAAACTAACCTTCATCATTATCGTTACTATCTGCAAAGTATAAAAAAATCACAATATTATCACATTTACGCATTATACGTCAAATTGAATATCTTATTGTTAAAAATTGTGACTAAATAGAGACGAAAAGCCTCTTAAATGAATTAAGACAGTTTATACAAACAGCAAACAGGAGTTAACAACTACAAAAATCTATCCCAAAATAACGTCAATTCATACATCAGTTGTCAAATTGTATATTACTTGTATACATCTACTTTAAAAACTCAGTGATATTTTAAGAGTGAAAATCAAGAACAGTACATTTTCAGTCAGTGTTATGTGTGAATGACTCTTTTTACGTCTTTTTAGGGACGAATAAACCTGTTGTTGTAACTTAGCTAATCACAGATAATAAATTTTTTTAACAAATTTTCCAGCATTCTTTGCAAAAGATTGGCATGATAAAAACACAAGGGCATAAGCACGGGGTACCAAGTATTGGAAAGCAGATATCGGAAAGCAAATACTGAGTGGAAGGTACCTGATACCAGATAGCAGTTTATTCGTATAAATTTATCTTTTAGGCGAAAATATTGCATTTCAAATTGTTATCTAAGATGTGCCTAATTCAAGAAGAATTGGTCACAGGCGCCCACAAAAGTAGCATTGTGTCTTTGCCACACATTGTGATTGCTTGCGCAATAAAAATAAATATTTGCCGATTCGCTTTGAGAATGATCGTGGAATGACCACTCTTACGGTAAGAAAAAAAAAGAAGTAACAGTTGTGGCATTGCTTGCTGCTTTTTACTTTTCTTTCTTGGAAAACGCCAACATTTTTTTTCTAGTGTTTTTGGTATTCCAAAAGTTCTTGCTTTCAAGTAGTAAATTCCTCCTGCGATTTGCTTTGATTTTGAAAGGAAACAAAAAAAGTATTTTGTTGTGTTTATCGTCAAAGAGGGAAATTACGTGTGCACAAATGGAGGAAGCAACGTATCGAGACAAAATATCACAATGTTCAGTCAGTATTTTCAGCTTTTCATGCATCCAAACACAAATTCAATTTGCAATGCTTCCATTGTTATACAAAACAACATAAACACAAGAATATTTTTTTTGTCAAAAACGGTAAAAGCTTTAGAAATAAAACTTTTAAGACTTACAATTAAATACGTTAAGTTTCTTTGTTGAATCGCCGTTTTTTTTACCACAACAAGTTCATTACCTCTTTTTGATAAAGCGTTTATCCGGTATTATGTTATACTGCTAAATAGTACCAGTCTTCTCTAGTATTACCCCGCTACATGTTACCCAGTACTTGCTACTTGGTACCTGGTATCACACCCACATTCTTGACTCTGCCGCAGTGGTATTGAGAATCAAGTGAAAAGAAAATGTTCGTGTAAATGCTAATAAATCTGATAATAATAAAAAATGATACATGAAATGAAAGCGTTCATGGATTTCTGCATCGCATCATTATTTCTAATAGAAGTATAGAACCGGCTGTGTGTTGAACGCCCCTCGACATCTTTAGAATGATATAAGAATATAAGGTTTCCTGTGATTGGTTAATCCCTGTTTTACTACTTAATTTATTAAGCCGCTGTTTGAATTTTGAATATCTGCAGCCACTGTTTGAATTTTGAATGGGTTAACATGCTGAGAGAGAAAAACTGGAGTTTGAAGGTAACGCTTTTCAAATACATTGAACATAAGCAGACATAAACAACCGTATCAACATTATTACTATTAGTTTTTGCATGACTATACCGACCTTTTTTATGTCGTTTCTTTTTTATTGCAGTATTAAAAATAAATCTTAAAAACAAGGTTATGTTAAATTTACACGTGGCAGTTAACTGATCTCTTGCGCATTTTTGAATTTGAATGGTAAGAATTTTTTATTCTTAGGGTTTCGGATAAAAATAGCGATCTGTCAAAACGCTGACATTTTGAAAACAACGCTTGTTATTTTTCAAACGACTCACACCATTATCTAAGTCACAAAGAAGATTTTCATAAAGAACATTTTTTTGCACGCATTTTAATTTTTTGCTGCCCACAACCTTTTTGCATATATTTAACGATCTTATGAAAATATTCTGGTATAACGATCTTATGTAAATATGCAGTGCAGTCCCTTTAAATGCGGAAACATTGAGATTGAAAAATCAATAATGAAAGCATCTGTCGAGGTGAAAAGAGTTCGGAGAATTAAAGAACCTAATGTTTTTAAGGTTACCTTCTGAAAAGCTTGTGTTCATCGAAAAGTGTTCATCCAAATTATCATCTGCCTCTAAACACATGATAAAAAAAAAACCTGTATATCACATGTTACACTACCCAGATTTTGTAAAATATGAATAAAAAGTAGGTCCACAAACGGATAAAAGACGAAAAATGTCATTCTAACTAAAATTTTGGGATATTTGACTCAATAAAAACACAATAAAGTTGGTTCCATGACGTAGAACACTCCCTCTCAAACCTTTAAGCGAGCCATAATGTATTTAGAATTTGCATTTACGTAACCATTTATTGTATGTTATTCGGTCTTGCAAATATTACATGCATGGTTAGGCTAATACCGTGTGTTTGCAAAGAGGGAGTTGAACCAGTGAGTTGAACTACCTTACTTTGTGGTTTCTAATCTTTTGGGTGGAAAAATGACAACGTGGGTTTCATTGCAAGTTTTTCCGTAAAGCTAATAATATACTTTTTCATAACACATCATAAATATCTCTTGAAACAGTTATTTCTCACAAAAAAAGTTAAAGAAACGAATAACTTAGATCAAACATCAGGGCAACTAAAGGGCAACTAGCTACCAACTAAATGCTAAATGAAACTATGTATTCGTAAACATAATTATTGGCTTTTATTGACTATCAATGATGAAATTATATGTTTTAAATGGATGTTATCAACAATATTCTATTTAAGTTCATCTATGTACGTGTAACGTATACATGTAACTGACACGTTGATCATGATGGTTTTCACAATTCACTTTTAGCATCATAGTCAGTTTTCACTTTCTATGTATATTGATCAAATTTCTATGTTTACAAAGTTTATAATTTTCACATGATTTTGATCCACAGCATTTGCATTACTTTTAAATTAAAAGATTTTTAGTTGGCTACATATAACGATACCTTTCACAATTAATTTATCAGGTTATAAATTATTGTTTATATTTAGCGTTGAAAAACATGGAAATGTTTGGGCAGCAAATGTTTGCTAACAAAATTTTTTTGCTTACCAGGTTTTGATGTGGAAGGCGAAACACCAATGATGACTTCACTGTTATTATCATCTAATAGATAAATCAAATTAATTTTTTGCAATGCAATTAAATAACATTACAGTATGATGACAAATTCTAAAACACTCTTATCTGACCCTTTACAAACGTATGAATGATACGCATGATATAAACAACTCTTAATTGTTTGTGTTTGACTTTTAAAGGGAATGTAAAGATGTTTGTGCAAATGTTTGCTAACAAAAAACAATTTCTTACCAAGTACTGCTGTAGAAGGAGTTTTGTCAATGTCGTCATAGTCGTTGTCACTCATGGAAGATGGCAAAGATATCTTTTCGTAAGAAGCTGAAAATTAATGCATTACCATACACGGTTAATACATTATAGCAAGATAAAAGGAATACTTGCTGAGCTATTTCACTCTTCACTTTTTTGATCGTTAACAAAAGTATGAGAATAAGGAAGATATAAACGAACTCAATGGTTACATTGCATTCTTGTTTGTACTTTACATTTCAAAAGGCAATAAAGATTACGTTTGGGTAAATATTTGCATATAAAATTTCATTACTTACTAGGTCCTGATGTAGAAGACGTTATGCCAATATCAGCATCACTGTCATTATCATTTAGTAGATATAACAAAGATATCTTTTCTTCAGAAGCTGAAGCAATGTAAATATGAAACATTTAAGAATGATAATATTACTATAAAGTATTGCAACAAATATATTTTGTAAACAAACTTGATCATACTGATTTCGTCGTGACTGCTGTGTAAGATGGTCTTACTAGGAAAAATCTGAACGTATTTTTACCAAATCGAGAAAGGATCCTCAAAAAATTATGTTAACTATAGGTATTTGGTTATGCCTTCGAATGGTACGCAGTACTTTTACTTTTTACTATAGTATGTTTTCCTTTTAATACTTTCTACATTTAATGCACAATATTTATAGTTCTACTCAAGCCTAAAATCATAGTAGTTTAGTCACCAATAATAACAAATGATAATCGGATTGTTAATGCAAATTTTGGATGTTTTCAATTGATAATCTGAAAAAAAAAATACCAAAAAGGAATGGAGACGTTTGCAAACGATAATAGACATGATGAGAACATGTCTATCGTAACATTTTGCAAATGATAATGGACATGACGATAGAATGATAATAACCTATAAGACAACTTTCAGATATTCCAAAATGTTTGTAAGAATTTTCTAAGTTGGCAGTCACGTAGTATTATAAATGTGTACATAAAGTTCTATGAAAATAAGCACACAAAGTGAATTAAAATCACTTCAACTTTTAAATCCCCGAAGCGTAATTAGTTGCACAGCCATTGAATTTTTAATGTTATAATCTCGTGCTAACAAATTATGGTATTTGCAATTTTTTGATACATGCTGTACAGGGTGTCTCAAAAAATTACACATCTTTGAAATTAGCCGACGTTTTAAATTTGCAAGATTCATTCAGCAGTAATTGATTCTCAAATAAACCCTGTAAACGCATTTAAAAAAAAATAATACATACGAATTGCTGCCACGAAAAGCTACGAAAATCAATACATTACATCAAAAAATCATGATTTTAAAACATGGCATTGAGATAATTCTCGTGTGCAGGGGCGGATCTAGGCCATGGCGAAAGTGGCTTGAGCCACGGTCAGAATTCTGCCACTTAAGTTTTTCCAGGGTTGACTTTTTCATGATTAAAAATTTTGCTCAAATACAGCAAAATTCGATTTTGTTAACAGAACAAAAACTTCAAATTAGACGTCTTGTTAAAATAGTATTATCATCCAGTTAAACTCTGAACTGTAAAATCACCGAAAGCGTCTCGAATCTTGCCGAATACGCCATGAATATGCTCGGAATATGTTCGTAAATTCGAGCCAGCAATCTCAGAATGAAGAGCCACGGTCAGCGTTCAAAAAATTTCGCAATAGTTGCTAAATATAGTAACCTTTAGCCACGGTGCAGCGTTGCAAGCCAATCACAGGGGACGTTTTGGTCATGTGCGCCATGGTGAGCCACGGTGAATGTATTTTGATTGCGCAATAAATACAAGTCATATGAAATTGCTCGATTCTTGTCGACTTGAAAAACGCTAGTTCTAGTACTACTCAGCGATTAGGATCAATGGAAACTTCTAAAAAGATCGATGTTCTTGAAAAGCTCGTCCAAACCTTTCAGCAAGAGAACGCTTGCGAAATTATTTCTGGTGAATTGTCTAACTTGAGACAACACTGTGTTAAAATAATCAACGAGGAAAGGCTTCGTCGTATAAATTCTACTGGCGATATTATGCTATGAACTTGTTCATTTTCAAAACTGCAGTTCCCTGAAAGCCAAATTGAAAGATCAGGACCCAATGTCCCTGTTAGGTAAGAATTTACATTTATTGGGGTATTAATTTATATTTTTATTTACGTTTGACATCTTGGCCTGAAATATATGATCAATCAGTTAATTATCAGCTATTCATATTTAGTGTATCATGTAAAATATATGTCTAGAGCTGTCATTATTTTGCATACTCAGTCTGTCTAATGTACGGCCTAAATAATTTTAATTATTACTGTCTGTTAAATAAAATGTTTTACTTCAATATTAGTCAAAGCTAGTCTTTTTAAAATTTAACCCAATCAATAATGTATTATCCTTGTATTCCTGGCATTTTATGTTATCCCCTGGTTAAAGAAACTAACATATCATTTTGAATAACTGTTACTTTCTTTCGCTGGTTATATAGAATATTGATGCTATAGTAGATGGAATCAATAAGTCGTCTGAATCCTGTTCGACATGCCTAGACCAGTTCCAAATCTTAGACTACCTGCCTGTGACTTTGACTTTATCATGATGTTACCAAATTAACACAAAGAGAAAATAACTTTCTCAATTTCAATATTATTAGTCTATCTTTAACAGTATTGGTTACCCTTATTTATTCTAATGTCAGAGTCAGTCTAGCAGATTTGTTTCCAGGTATAACTTGGTATAACAAAGCAGCCATTGATACTTAAATACTAATTTTTCTTTTAGTAGTTTAGCCAATGGGAATTTTCTGTTCAATGCATGTTCTATTGAATTAGTTGAGAATGAGACTCTCTCTATTTACTTGAGATTCCTAACTAGTGTTGAAATGTTTGAGAATGCAAAATACTAATCTATCCATCCTCTCATCGAGTCCCAGCATAAAAATGGTGCATTCACTTCACTTAAAAATGCCTTTGCCATGTGTATATGCGATGCAGCTCTAACCTCTTTAGAAAATGCGAATGAAATTGCAGCAGTTTTACAAGAAGCAGTGGAAAGAGCAAATAATTACACCTTTTCACCCTTGATGTGTATGTTTGCTTTGTCAACAGAAATCCAGTGTGCTATTCAGTCATACTACCCAATTACTAATGATGCTGAAGTGAAAGGAAATTGGGATTTGTTGGCTAAAATGTTCAATTTTACAATATATCCAAGAGATTTCGTTGATGGGAGTGCAATTGACTATGTCCATATCTTTCGTTGTGCTGCGATGCCACCTTCTTATTTGGTAGATCAAAAAATCCCATCCACCAAAAATCATTTTGTTACTTTGTTTTTAGAGGACCACCTTTGAACATTGCTTTTATTAATCTTGCCATCTTTACCATTGTTGGATAAACATCTTTGTCGCTGTTGGAAGAAGATCACCTTTGAACATTGTTTTTATTAATCTTGCCAACTTTACGATTATTGGATAAACATCTTTGCTGTTGTTGGAAGAAGATCACCTTTGAACATTGCTTTTATTAATCTTGCCATCTTTACCATTGTTGGATAAACATCTTTGTCGCTGTTGGAAGAAGATCACCTTTGAACATTGTTTTTATTAATCTTGCCAACTTTACAATTATTGGATAAACATCTTTGCTGTTGTTGGAAGACCACCTTTGAACATTGCTTTTATTAGTCTTGCCATCTTTATGGCTGTTACAAAAGGCATCCTCGCTGCTTTTCGAAAAAGACCATTTGATGGGGCAACAAAGATGGGGAATTATTTTTTTGTAGTGAACTGTCTTTTGGTTATTCACTGAAAAATAACATGCTTCATCTTTCTCTCACTCCTGTGGCAACAATCCTGTGATTACAGAAAGGTACGGAAACTGCGTTGATTTTACATCAGACACCACAAGATAAGTAAAATTTTTATCCGAACAGAATTAAAAAAATGGCGATATTAGAATTTTTTTTAGATGAGATTATAACTAAAATATTGTTATATTCTACATTAAAAATGCAGGAATTTGCTTTTCCGAGAGTCTAGATTTCAAAATTTTCTGGGGGAGCATGCCCCCAGACCCCCCTAGCGTTGGCTCGCGCCGAAGTCGCTCAATACGTCACAGGGCCACGGTCAGCCAAGAAGCTGGATCCGCCCCTGGTGTGTGATTGGTTGATGACAGTGCAGTTTATCTCTAAGTGCACTGTGAAAATATGTTATTGTACTCTTCAAATAAGACAACAAATATATGACAGAAAATCATCATATATTTGCGCATAGATCGTGAAACAAACATTTAACTACCGCAATCGATGTTTTCTAAAGACAAAGCAAAGTAAAATCTTACAACTATATAAATGATCATGGAGCTATATAACATAGGTACGTTGTGGAAACGCAGCAGCAGAGTATAAGAATAAATAATTATGCAGGTATTTAATTTACGTTTCTTTCCATCAACTACTTTGTTTTCCACAACATGTATGGTATCTAGAAATATTTGCAAGAGTAATTGCTAAAAATTAAGCGATATTAAATGCAAATATATTTTATAATTTAGGCAAACAAGTAGAGTGAAAATTACTATCAAAGTTTTGACATTGTAAATCGTAAATTGAACTCTATATATAGCTACTTAATTCGTATACACTAAAAATAATTTCGAATGCTTTACTTACTCGTAAAATGTTTTCTTAGATCAGGTCTTGTTTTCCAGTCAGTCGACCTTATGATTTTGTGCACAAGAAGAGGCAGTTCAGGAAAACGTTGCAAGAAATATTCTTTATAGTTGCCTTCCTTGACATAACGCAAGAGATGTGTACGAGGTTTATCGTTCCAATGCTCTTTCACGTTTCTTATGAATCTTAAACACCTTGCCCATGTAGGCTCGTAAATCAGAGTTATCTCTTTGCCATTCTTTATAAAGGTTTTGAAATCTTCCAAGACTTCATCATCAATACGCGTCATCCATTCCATGGGAGCATATAATTGCGCAACGACATATGAATTTGGAGAACTTTGACCTTGTGATTGTTTCATTTCCGGCTGGTTTCCCATATCACATAGCATGCTAAATTTCTTTTCAAAGGATATCAGATAAGGGTGTTTTAACGCCTTTTTGGCAGATGGCCTGTCTTCTGGTGAATGTTGTAGCATCCACGAAAGAAGATCTTTAAGTTGAACATCATTGATTTCTTCCAAACCAACGGGTTTTCCCTCCAACATGTTTCGTAGTCTATACTTCTCAAGTCCAAAAGGATGTTTTCCTTTTGTTGCAACAAAGTAAGCCACCATTCCTGCATTCTAAAATAAATTAAACATAACAGAGTACGTAAAATGTAAAAATTAAATTTACGTATAATTTGAAAATAGTAACAACCCAATACCTACCATTACATCGGACTTTGTTTTGTATCGCGCTTTATCAAATATTTTTTTATCAACAATATAAGATTCAGGGGCAATCCAATGCTGAGTTGCCCTATTAGCATCGCTTACGTATGTCTGAGAGTCATTCTTCATAATTCGACTAATACCAAAATCGGCTATCAAAAATTTGCCTTGTGCGTTTCGTAGAACATTGGAAGGTTTCAAATCTCGATGAAGAATTGGATGTGGACCGCTATGAAGATCAGCTAATCCTTTTAAAATTTGTTTAAGAATGTCGGGAAGTAATTTTTGAAGGTAATACAAACTATTTGAATTTGATTCCACATATTCCTTCAACGACTCTTCACATAGGTCAATTATCAAGTAGACATATTCTGTTCCAAGGTTTTCTTCGTAGTAGGAATAATTCACAACATATTGCGAGTATTTTGCGTTTCCCTCATTCAAAATTTTCTTTTCCTTCTCTGCTATTTTGATGCAGCTATCTCGACGAATTCGTTTCACAGCTTTTTCAGAGCCATCCTTTCCCAGTCCAACATAAACGCGGGTTCCATCGTTTCCTTTTCCAATGCAAAATTCGTCTGAGAAAATAACCCGTACATTGTTCACATTTTCAACATTCTCACACTTAATTAACTTTAATAACTTTTCTTTGTGCTTTGTTAGTTCATCAATGTGTTTCCATTCTTGCAACTGCATTTCTTAAAATTATGTAAAATGAATTTAGAGATTAATAATAAAAATATGCAAACAATTGGAAGTAGTTCAAAGTTTCCATCACACACAAAATTTGGATGGTGGCAAATTAATTATCATATATTTCTGATTTATGCAATTGATTGGACAGCAGTATAAAGGCATAAGCAGATATCATAACATGTTCTTTTTATTGTGAAATAAAGCCGTATATAATTACACCTAGTATTTGCTGCTTTTGAGTGTAAAAAACGTGAAGAACATGTTTATCATGTCTACAGCTATATAATCAAGTGACAAATACAACAGAACAAATTTATTTCAAATCTCAACTTTTACTCTTGACTTTCAGTCTTTATGAGCATTTCGATGCTCGCCTATCTAGCAATCTGTTATGTATTCACTTTTTATCAGTGAAATTAGACCACAGATAAGAGACTATGCACTATAAAAAGAAATCATCAATTTTAAACTTCAAGGGAAGTATAATGCATGGCCCAAATTTTTGATCTAATATTTTCAGAAAAGATTTAGTATTGTCTATTTCAACCATCATTTCCAAATTCCAATCCCATGATATGATATTGTACATTTTTATTTTTGATAAATTAACTGTGGTAAAAAGTATTTCTTTGATAGTAACTTACTGGTTAAATGTTCTTCGAGATCTGGAAGTGATTTCCCTTCAATTAACTTCATGATACTATGTACAAGTAGAGGAAGCTTAGGGAAAACATGCAGGAAATACTCTTCATAGTTACCATTGCTTTGAGGCAGTTGTGTAGGAGGCTTATAGCGCCAATGCTGGTGAAAATTTAGTAAAAAATCTACACAACCCAACCATGTAGAGTCGTAGTATCCTTTATTGAAAAGATTAAAGACTTCAGGGTCGATACAATCTTTCCAACTTATTTGACGATTCAACTGCATATTGACATCTGAATTAGGAGAATGAAGTAAACGCGATATTTTTGTCCGTGGTTGGTTACTCAGGTCACACAGCATATGAAACTTCTCTTTATCAGATAGTAGATAAGGGTGTTTAAGCGCCTCGTTTGCTGATGGTCTGAGTTTGGGATTTAGCTGTAGCATCCATGAAAGAAGATGTTTAAGTTGAACATCCTTGATTTCCTTCAATCCAACAGGATTTCCATGTAGCAAATTTGCCAGTCTACACTCTTCAGATCCAAAAGGATGTTTACCTTTTGTAGCAACATAATAAGCAACGAGTCCTGCATTCTAAAATCAATAAAAGCAGTGTGAAAGAAATGTAAAAATTCAACTTTATTTAACACATGGTTACATTTTTATACCTACCATTACATCCGACTCTCTTTTGTAACTTGATTTGCCAAACGACTCATAATCTTTACGATATGATTCAGGAGCAATCCAATACGGAGTTCCCCTCTCACCAATGCTTGCATGTGTCGTACGGCCATTCTCCATTGTTCGGCTTAAACCAAAGTCAGCTATCAGAAATTTTCCTTCTGCGTTGCAGAGAACATTGGAAGGCTTCAAATTCCTGTGAAGAATAGAACTTGGCTCGCGGTGAAGATCAGCTAATCCTGTTAAAATGTGTCTGAGAATTTTGGGAAGAGAATTTTGAAGATCCTCCAAAGTAGAAGAATGCACTAAACACTCCAACGATTCTTCACACAGGTCGAGTATCAAATAGACCCATTCTGTTTCAGTATCTTTTTTGAAGAAAGAATAATTCACCAGATAATTCGAATTCTTTTCTTTAATTTCATTAAAAATTTTCATTTCTTCCTCTGCAAAATCGATAAAGTTGTACTGAAGTATTCGTTTCACAGCTTTCCCGTAACCATCCTTGCTCAGTCCAAGATAAACACGGGTTCCATCACTTCCTTCGCCAATGCAAAATTCATCTGAGAATATTACTCGAACATCGTTTAAAAGTTCAACGTTCACATTAGGATCTCGCCCATACTTAATCATTTTTAAAAATAATTCTTGGTGTTTTATCGATGGATCATTATATTTCCATTGCAATTCTGAAACTGAAGGAAAAAAAATAAATTTAGAAATGAATGGAGATAATAAAATACAAAAAAGTAATTAACGTTAGACTATTACAGTGAGAAATTGGATAGTGACTGCACAGTTTGTGCAAAGTACTAAAAGCAACCACTACATCATAAACTACCCGTTCAAGCAAACAGTTCTAGCAAGAGTGGAGGATAGTTGATAACAAAAAATTAATGAATATAATACAATATGACTACAGATTAGAAAAATACAGACACACACCCTGCTGAGTTTTTACTCTAGCGGTAGTAATATTTTTATGTTCAACAAAAACAAACAAAAAACAAATTTTTTCAAAGAATGACAAGTAATTCTTTTCAAAATTTGCATAAGCACTGAAAAAATTGTAAATGAAGGATTGTCAAGTTCTTAACCCGGAACTTAAAATATTAGTCAATTAGAAACAAAACTTTGCATCTTAATCAAGTTGAATTTATTTGCATTTTGTACCTATAATTTTGTCAACTTCATGTAACTTCTTTTTCATCGAATCCCTTTGCAAATCACTTCCTTCCTTCCCATATAATCGTATCAGACGTTCCATAGCGTTCTTTTGTTTTGCTATATCTTTATCATTTTCGACGATATGAAGATATACTTCATAAACATCTATTGCATCCCTCCGTTCTTCAAGTTTATCAAACAATTCTGCTAATTCCCAATAAACAGCCAACACTCCATTCACAATTCCAGCTGAAGTAACAATTGACAAGTTCTTCATGTTACAGTTGACAAAATCTTTACTAACGTTAATACCACCTTTTCTGACATTTTTTTGTCGCTGCATTCGATAATGATGTTCTTGTTCACTGTCTTCCAATTGTAAACGTTGCACTTCGTCTTCTAGCTCTTGACTTTCAATCAGAGAGAATCCTTTCCTATAATGCTCCAAGGATTTGTCATAATTTTCAAGTAACTTATTCAATCCTCCCAATGCAACATGACAAAGACAGACCATTTCTTCTTTCTTCATGCCGTTCTCCAACCCTTCAGTGGTAGAACAAATACTTCCCAAGCCAAGGTACACTTGATGTTCAAAATATTTACAACTGACTTCAGCAGAAAGATTCAAACAATGATTAAAATATTTCGTTGCTTCATCAAATACATTAGAGAGGGTGTAAGCATTACCAAGGCCAAAATATGCTATCGTCTTCAGGCTATTTTCGTCGGTAGAATTCAAACATTTTTTGTAATGTTCAATAGCCGTTTCATAATCGCCATTATTCATAGAACAATTCCCTTCTTCCAAGATCTCCATAACTGCTGGAACCGTGGAAGCTAGTTCTCTTCTAGCAGTCATGCAAAAATTTATCTAAGTTCTCCAGTGTTCTTCATGTGAGCAGCAACTTTTCTTTATTGTACTTATTTTTTTGCGCCAAACATCAAAGTTAAACTTTTTAACTATATAAGGCAAAATTATGAGCTTTATTTAGTTCACTCTTTAGTTTCAAAATTTTAATAGAGGAAATTCATTTCTGAAAGTTTAGAGCAAGCAAATGAGAGATCTGACTAACATGTATGTAGAGTGTGTGTAGGGTGTTATATACCAATAGGTTAAAGATAGGGCAATTTTGCAAATTGAAGGTAAAGAAATTCTCGATAATGACCGTTTTAACATTTCCCCCCAATAAGTTTCGTAAGTTAATTAATTCATTCAAGTGCCCATTTCAGCAACATTGAATTTAGGAGTGATTTCCACAGTATTAGTAAAAGTTTTTAAGTTTCTCGAATCGCTCCATTTTTAAGGCTATTTAAAGTAGGCAAAATGCTCCTTTTTATGGAGCTTGTCAATCGCAGGAAACGTCTGGAACGACTTACTTTTGTAACGTCATGCAAAGTATTCATCAAGATATATATATACCAACCACATGTTTGTCGATAATTGCACGTTGCAAAACCCCCACTACCACAGTCACGAAAGTCACGCATCAAGACAATACTTAATTCTTCTAGTTTTGTAAACTTCTTATAGCTACAATACATTATTTACCATATGAAGACAATGCAAGATGCGAGAACTTAAAATTGAATATAATATTTTGCATTAAAAACTTTCCGTCTGATTTCTTTTAAGTATCTTTTTTCTTAGTATTTTTATACACAGGTGTTGAAACACGCGAAGAAGAAAACAATACAACAAAGACTGGAAAATTTACAATCAATGTGACGATCTTTGAGTTAACAGTGTCACAAATTTTGATTTACTATTTTTGTTCTCGTCAGATCAGAACCATCAAACTATGTCGAATACCTGTCTTGCATATAGTTACATATAGTCGTAGATTAATATATCTAAATTGGGACATTTGCTCCAACTCGTGTCTAATAAATATTTGAGGAAAATTGCGCATGCATAAACTGTATGAAGGTCTCCTCACTCGTCATAGACAATCTTGAAAACTTGTACTCGACGAGATATAGTCCCAACGACATGGGGATTACTTGTGGTTAAAAACGGTACAAAAAACTCCCAACTCCATGGAATTACTGTATAGTTATCGCATTTATATTTTTATATTTTCCCAATAAAATTGTTCACTATTATACGTATCATCGGAGAATTTGTACATAGAAGTAACTCCGATGAGTTTGGAGAAGATCATGAAAATTCAATCAAACTACAAATGTGTGTCAATTTAGATACATAAATATATATATAAATTGGGACATTTGCTCCAACTCGTGTCTAATAAATATTTGAAAATTGCGCATGCATAAACAAAGATGCGTCAATACCGAAACGTGCTTTGAAAAAACCTCAGCGTTTTATTGATGAATTTGTAGTAAATGATTTTTCTAGGAAAGAAAACCAAACAACAAAATAAAGGCGCCAATTTTTTTAATATAGAGGTATATGAGGTTGACCAGGATCAAAAAAATTTGAAAATGTCTCGTAGTACAAAGCCCTCGGTGCAGTCCAATCTTAATTCGTATGTAGTTTCCAAATAGGGAGGTACCCACACGTCACAATGCATTGTAAATTGCAAATTACATGACAAACTTATTATAAACCCCAAAGTTCAGGTCTACAGCGCGATGAATTTGTGTCAAAACAGAATCACAAGACGCACTAAGAATCAAATTCTTATAATCCGTTGGCCTTAGTTAGATAGTGTACGGAAAAATCACATGATCAAATCTATGGAAGCTTCAAAAGATATACATTTGATAAAAGTTGCATTTAATCTATTCGAGATTGCAGTAATGCAGCATAGATAATTGGTTAATGATAATGCAGCATAGATGATTGGTTCTATTTTTCCCAATAAAATTGTTCACTTTTATACTTATCATCGGAGGATTTGTACATAGAACTTCGAAGAGTTTGGAGAAGATCATAAAAATTCAATCAAACTACGAATGTGTTCCAATTTTTAATATTGGCAAGAATACACCCCACCCAGGATTGAAAAAAACTTACACGTAATTCTCTTGTTTTCAAGTGTTGCAACAACTTTAATTTCTTCACCATTTTTACTTCTGTCTGAAAAAAAAATCAAAGAAAAAAGACAATGAAAATTTAGGGAGGAATTTAGCCATAAGAGACTATGATCAAAATTCTATTGTTCAAATTAAATAAAAAAAAGTGTATGCAACTGTGGTTAGTTATCAACCTTGGAAGTTGGCTGAATGTAAATATTGCCTGTGACACCACAAAGTGTATGCAACTGTGGTTAGCTATCAACCTTGGAAGTTGGCTGACAGTAAATATTGCCTGTGACACACCACAAAGTGTATGCAACTGTGGCTACCTATCAACCTTGGAAGTTGGCTGACAGTAAATATTGCCAATGATACACCCACAAAGTGTATGCAACTGCGGTTAGTTATCAACCTTGAAGTTGGCTGACAGTAAATATTGCCTGTGACACACCACAAAGTGTATGCAGCTGTGGTTAGTTATCAACCTTGGAAGTTAGCTGACAGTAAATATTGCCTGTGACACACCACAAAGTGTATGCAACTGTGGTTAGTTATCAACATGGAAGTTAGCTGACAGTAAATATTACCTGTGACACACCACAAGTGTATGCAACTGTGGTTAGTTATCAACAACAGAGTTGGCTGACAGTAAATATTGCCTGTGACACACCACAAAGTGTATCTACAACTGGTTAGTTATCAACCTTGGAAGTTGGCTGACAGTAAATATTGCCTGTGACACACTACAAAGTGTATCCAACTGTGGTTAGTTATCAACCTTGAAGTTGGCTGACTGTAAATATTGCCTATGACACACCACAAAAAAAGCTACGAGTTTCTCTTATAATGATTTTGGCTGCCGTATGATTTACCGCTTTGGACGGAATGGGGAGCAGGAAGTGACGTTTGAAAGGGTGTTGTTGTTTAGCTAGAGTAAAAGACAAATTGTTGTTGTTGAATTTTGTACGTGGAACCAAACGGTCCTTAACGTAATTTGAAAGTAATAAATTGTAATTTGGTTTATTTCATTAAATTGTTTATTCCCAAGTTGTATGACGACTTGATAGTCACAACATCCTTATTCGCGGTAACCTTCCACTGACATGAACAGTCATAAACAAGCACATGATGGGGCAGCAAAAACCTATATGACTCGACATCTGAATGCAGTTACTAGACCCAATTCAAAGAAAAAGAACCGAAGGCTTGATTGGTATATTGTGTAGCTCATTCTTGTCTTTTCGGTTGACTAATGGCTGAAGTGGCTCACTTTAATCTACCATAAAATCTTTGAGCGAGACTACGTTCTACTGTCAGAACTGCAGATATCGATGCCTTTTTTTAAAAAAAGTATGCAGTGTTGCACGCGGATAGCAGTATTTGATATGAACTGGAGCTCAGGTTTGACAAATAAAGTTTGATCTTAGGCAAATATTGAACTTGTGATAGGTGCATATAGGGGTTTTATGTTATGTACCCATCACACAGACAACAGAAAGTAGCCGCAAACGAGCAAATTTTATACTAAGATCAAATACGAATTATGGATATCACTTGAATTAGCACGATAGGCGACATCATGAAAACGTACGTCCTTGTATGTGTAGTAAAGCTCATAAACTTCTTTGTACCGATTTAATGAATACAACAAATGTCAATTTTTAACTCTTCAGAGAGTGAAAACATCTTAGTCTGACATTGAACTAGAATTCGTAGCTTGCAAATAGTACGACCAATCGTTTAGGTTATTAGTTAAATTCGTTCGTTTTGTGCAATGTATTGATTTGAAGTCTCTTTGATACGCTAGGACAGCCTCGACACTTGATACGATCGTCTCAGTCGGGATTTGTCTAGGTGTTATGGAATGTTTTAGTCCGTAAGATAGTAGTCGCGTTTCAGTTTCGTCTAATGAGCGGGAAGAAATATTCCTCACCCAGTTATCGTCATGTCTATGTCTTGTACGTGTTTTAGTTTGTTTTAAACGTTCAGTTTTGTTGTTGTTTGATTTGGTGTTGTGTCTCTGTCTTGTTTGCTCGTTTCTCTGCAATAGTTTCATATCGTAGAAAGTAAAGTATCACTTACTGTCGTTGGTATGAGTTCCTTCAGTTTGTTCAGTCTTTGTTCTTGTTGTTTGATGCTAATAGTTGATTCATCTGCTGACAGTCGTTAATCCGTGCTCATCAGTCGTCTGCTGGTGGATTTGATAATCTGAATAGCCTCTTGTGTGTTCGGGACTTAATTCTAAGTCCTGCCGGAACGAGACCATAATCCTTGCAGCGGATGGTTGAACCAGAGTTGTTGGCGTATGCGTCTGACGTTCTTACCAAAACGTATGTAGTCGTTAGCAAGTTTGTTCGCTCTGTCGTCCAAATGATCGTAATAAAGTAAATGGTTTGAACCCGGGAGTATCGTTATATGTTTGTAATTGATGATCGTCCAGGTTAATAAAGTCCTGAGAAGGACTGTTTTTGTTTTTGTAGACTGACGTTTCGACAACCTTAGCGGTAGTCATCTTCAGAGTCAAATGAGGAGTAAACGTCAGGTTAGCCGTATTTGTTATCTGGTTCCTACGTCATTGTATTGTGTGTACAGGAAATGTGTATTGTCACTTACTTGTACAAAAAACCCTCATTACAAGCACCACTGATCTGGCACTTACTTGTACAAAAACCCTCATTACAAACACGACGGACGTACTGCCATTACCGACAGAAGACATTATGGAGTTACTAGAGCTCTGCCTCACCTCGACTTACTTCCAAAACAAAGAAACACACTACAAACAATTACATGGGACAGCAATGGGCTCGCCCGTTTCTGTTGTAGTTGCTGAAATTGTAATGCAATCTATAGAGGAACGGGCACTCATGACTTACAAACATGCACTACCTTTTTGGTTTCGCTACGTAGATGACACAATCACAGCACTACATGCAGACGAGATTGATGACTTCCATACTCACATCAACAAACAGAACAGCCACATACAATTTACCAAAGATGTCGAAGAAAACGGAACTCTTCCTTTTCTCGACTGTTTGGTAAAACATGACAATCAAAAACTACGAACAACAGTTTATCGCAAGCCAACACATACTGACCGACTACTAGACCAATCATCTTACAACCCTACATCACCCAAAGCCACCACAATCAGAACATTAACAAGACGTGCACAAATCATGTGATTCACCAGACGCTCTACAAAACGAAAACAACTATCTCAAACGTGTTTTGGACAAAACAACTATAACTCTGACTTTATCAAACGCAACACTTACAAACTCAACGAACCCAGCGAAAGAACAACTCAGTGACAACAGCAACGATACCTTACATCAAAGGTACGTCTGAGACTATCTCGCGTATCGATACCTACCGCGTGTCGCATAAACCAATCACAACTTTACGACAAGTACTAACGAACATAAAGGACAGAACAACCCAACGAACGACAAGGTGCAGTTTACAAAATAAACTGCTCCGACTGCCACGCCTCCTATATCGGGGAAACTGGCAGGAACTTAAACATAAGACTTACTGAGCACAAACGAGCTACTAAGAAACAAGACAAAACTAATCACATTGCCGAACACCACCGAATGACAAAGCACAACATTGACTGGGACTCGGCAAAATGCATCACTTACAGTACTGACTATAGACAACGGCTTACATTAGAAAGTTGGTATACCAACTTGGAAATAACCCCCCTGAACAGATCACAGCAATTACCGGCACCTTACAAACGACTTATTCACAATACAAACAAACGATCAAATAAAAACATTACACTTCAAACTAATTCATAATGACAATACACAATTGACACCCACACATTACAACTAAAAACGTTACACCTAAATCACACATCACAATAAAATATTTCACTTCACACTAATCCACAATGACAATACACATTTCCTGTACACACAATACAATGACGTAGGAACCAAATAACAAATACGGCTAACCTGACGTTTACTCCTCATTTGACTCTGAAGATGACTACCGCTAAGATTGTCGAAACGTCAGTCTACAAAAACAAAAACAGTCCTTCTCAGGAATTTAATAACCTGGACGATCATCAATTACAAACATATAACTTGTATCAATGTTTTAAAACATCCAACTGTATGAAGTTAATCGTCAAAAATCTACGATAATCATTTGATGCACGCCAAATAAGAGTGTTTCTTTTTTACAAATTATTGTCGAAATAAAAATATATTTATCATAATAGTAGTAAAGTAGCTACATCTTAGGGGAAAGCTTATCATTCACAGATTCTAAAAATTATGATTACCCAACAAAACAACAAAATCATAAAAAAATTGTCACAGCAACAAGGTAGTTATAACAAGGTATAGAAAAGACTACTATCGTCAAGTTTCATCTTTATAAACTTGATTTAAAACATATTAAGTGCAATGGTTTACTTTCACCAATTATAATGAAGCTATCACAATCAGGGACACCTTAAACTCAGTAAGGCAATGGTGTCTTTGTCTATGTGAACGTAATTGGAAGTTACTTTTTTCCGTACAAATCTCTACCAAGAAAATTAAAAGCATAAATGAAAACACAATCCGCTTATTGTAATCACAGCAAATGGAACGTTTTATAGTATAACTGTTTAATGTTTGTGATTAACCATTGATTGCAGTCGACTAGATTAAAAAAAAAAACACAGGAGATTCTAAATTTGGACAACCGAATCAAACAAGGCGCTACCATGCAACACCTAATGAGAAGAAAAAAACCTTAAAGGTATTGGCATGTAAGATATACAGTATTTGAATTAAGAATAGTCCGTTTATCTAAAATGTAAGAATTCATTGAAAAATGTGATATTACACGTGTCAATGATACACTTAATTGCATAACTATTTAAGATGCAACTATTTAAAATAACAAGAAAAAGATCTTTGTTCATTCGATACTAGCGATACCCAGTGGCGTAGCTAGCGGTCCCGCTACTCCCGCCCGGCGGGAGTAGAAATTTCCCAAAAAATAATAAATATTCTATTTGGACATAAGATATACATTATTTCACGAACA